ATTCTTGATCCACATATCACCCATCATCTATGAACAACTTGGCATGTTTTTCGTATATTTGAAGATTTAAAATAGTTTTATGTAAAACGATGGGAAAAAAATTTATAGTGCATGCAATGGTGAAATAATTTGAATTTTACGGCAATTAACCATTATACAAAACTATTATTGTCAAAGACATTCACATAATTGTTTTTAAATAAACGAATATAATTGGTTATAACAATTCAATGTGACACGTTTTTATAGTTATTTCATATTTGACGTATTTAATCATTTGCTATATAAAAAAGTTGAAATGATCTCATTTAAAAAAAAAATATAATAATGGTTATCAACAATGTTTTAAAAACCGGTTTGAACCGGCCGGTCAAACCGGTTGGACCGGGAACCGGGAGAGGGAACGGTTCAACTATCACCGGTTTTACATTGATTTCTGAACCGGCCGGTTTTTAGAAAAACCCGGTTGAACCGGTCAAAATAAACTGGTTGAACCGGTTAAACCGAATAAAAACATATGAAAAAGAACCATTTACATAATAAACTTTGGTGATTTTGTTCAAATCTATTTAGTTTTCTCTAAATAAAAACATATGGTAAATGTTACAAATTTTTTTGATGTGTTTGTATTCATCTAAAACTATATTTCGTTTTTGTATAATACTTTATTTTCTTTTTGACGTATATGCATTCATGTAAAACACTAAAACTTATGGTTATGTGTTATTTTAATGTATTTGGATTCATCTACAACTTATTTTTATGTGTATTTTTAATGTTTGAATTTGTAAACATCAAATTCATAATTTATATATGTATGTATGTGTAGAAAAATAGAAAAAAAAACATGAAAAATATAGACACCGGTTCACCCAGCGGTCGAACCGGTTAAACCGGATGAACCGGGAACCGGTCACCATACCGGTTCAACTAAAAAACCGGTTTTTAAAACATTGGTTATCAATATAACTTTCTTTGAACATTTATAGTGAATTGACTCTATTTTTTAAAAGAGTTTACTCATCAGATTCAAATGATAGAAACTAAGGGTACGTCTTAAATACCCTTAAATACCCAAAACGGCTGAGTTCAGTTTCATAGACATTGGAACCAAAACCAACATTTCTGGTTATGATACCGAATTTCCTTTTCTTTTATCTTTTTTAAATTTGTAAAGCATAAATAAATTTATATATTACAAACTTTAAATAAATATATTAAGTGAAATTAATAATTAATTTGGAACCCCTTAAAAAGATTTCAAAAAGTAATTTACTAATAAAAGTTCGTAATAACACATAAAATGACGATTACTAAATAGGTTTTATTGAGACTTTTTAATATTATATTTTAGGTTATATCATTTGTTTAACATTCTCAAAAATTTGTCAACCCTTTCAAATTAAAGGTATTTGGCACTAAGGTGCTGTTTGTTTTTTCTAAGGCAAAATGTATGCAGTCTGCGGACCACATCTGTAGACCTCTGCAGCAGAAGAGGTGAACCAAACGTCTGTAGTCTGAAAAAAGAAGACTGTTTGTTTTTTTAACATCTGCAGGCTACTAAAATAAATTAAAATCTAAATAAACTGATTTTTTTAAGGGTTTAGGTCATTTTTGGTCACTTAACTTTTGGTTTTGTGTTCATTTGGTCATTTAACTCTTTTTAAGTTTTGAAAGGTCATCAAACTTTTTGTTTTGTGCTCATTTAGTCACACATTTAGTCACATAACTTTTAAAATTGTGCTCATTTAGTCACTAAACTTTTAAATTTTTTCAAAAGTTTAGTGACTAAATGAGCACAATTTTAAAATTTAGGTGACTAAATGATCACAAATCTAAAAGTTAAGTGACCAAACCAAAAGTTAAGTGACTAAATGAACACAAAGTCAAAAGTTTGATGATCTTTTAAAACTTAAAAAGAGTTAAGTGACCAAATGAACACAAAACCAAAAGTTAAGTGACCAAAAATGACCTAAACCATTTTTTTAAACTACAAAGTGATTTTTTAATATATTTATGACTTTGTTATAAATAATTAACAAACAACTTTTATGTATTATTGTATAAAAAGTGAAAATAAAAATAGTACAAATTAACGTATATATTTGATAAAAACCAACAATTTTGGTCGTAAAGTTATGTAAACATTGTAATTAGGAATTAAAGAATTTGATATATAAATGAATGGAAATAAACTTCAATTTTTTCAATTAAATCAATTAAAAACGTACCATAAATATTTTTTCTAAGAAATTGACGATCCTTTATTAAATAATGTTTTATAAAATCTGGCACAAAAAATATAAGAATATATTATTTTTTTTCATATTTATATAAACAACTTCAACGACCGTTATTGTAATAAACTTTTATTTATAAATTTGTCAAAAAAATATCATGTTTGTGTCGTCGAACACATTTTTTAAGTATTGCAACTTTTTTTGTTCAAATTTTTTATCACTAATAAAGTTGGAATAAATATAAATTCAAAAAAAACTAAAAAAATAAACTAAAGTATATGTGTTTTTTTAGGCTAGAAGATGTCTTAAGATGTTAGAAGACTCTGGTCCACATTTGCGCCAAGAAGAGGGCGCAGACATTTTTAGGTCTGCAGTTTTCAAAAAAAACAAACAGTCTGTGAAGGCTAATGTCTGTGCTAGGTCTGCGCCGCGCAGACAGAAGAGGTCAGGAAGATCTGCGGACAAAAAACAAACACCACCTAAATGATCATACATTCTAATATAATTCTAAAATACAGATACAAACACAATAAAAATTGCATCACAATTCTTCAATAGCGCAACATCTAGGTCTAGAAAGAAAAGTTTATATTAAATAATAATATATTTATTTAATTCTTCTTTCAAACATCGGTTCAATGAGTACCCATCGGGTGACAGTTCAAAAAAAAATAATAATAAGAACCGGAAACAGAATCGGTCCCTAGGGGTCCAAACTTTAGGAATCGAAATCGTAACCACTAACATCAAGGGTTTTTTTTTTTGGAATTTGACATGTTTGTGAGGTGAAACTATGTCGTACGGAAACTATTCATCGAAGTGAGTTAATCTTCGTACTTAAATTATTCACTGAAATTAAACTAACAGTCGCAGCCGCATCGCGCGGGTATCCCACTATTTGCTTATATACTGTCACCATATTCTTAAAAAAAAAAAAAAAAAAAAAAGCTAAATATTAAATGCCACTTACTCAAAACAACCAGTAAACCTATTAAAATCATGGAAAATTACTAAATTCACAGGTAAAACATGACTTTAATGGTCTAATGTGAAGAAAAAAAAAATTTAATGACCAAATCGGACAAACGCCATAACTTTAACTAGAAAGGTTACCCCCGCTACGCGGGGGCCAGAAGCTTTCAATGTTGTTTCCGAATCGATAAATATGACAGACGTAGAAAGTGCAAGGATGACAAGCCCGGGCTTTGCCCTGGACCGTTTTGTTCATGATTTTATGAAAAAATGTAAAAGTTTTGACTGCAAGGACCAGAAGTGTCAAAATGGCTAAAGAATTAAAACGGTAGGAATTAGCAAGTTTTTGGAAAAGGGATCAAAGTTGTCGAACCGTTAAAGTTTTGTGACCAAACTTTAAATATTAAAAGGTTCCTAAATAGAAAAGGGATCAAAGTTGTCAAACCGTTAAAGTTTTGTGGCCAAACTTTAAATATTAAAAGGTTCCTAAAAAATGTAAAAATATCGATTATAAGGATCAAAAGTGTCAAAATGGCTAAAAAATGAGGACCAAAGTTGTCAAACCGTTAAAGTTTTGTGGCCGAACTTTAAATATTAAAAGGTTCCTAAATAGAAAAGGGATCAAAGTTGTCAAACCGTTAAAGTTTTGTGGCCAAACTTTAAATATTAAAAGGTTCCTGAAAGATGTAAAAATATCGATTACAAGGACCAAAAGTGTCAAAATGGCTAAAAAATGAGGACAAAAGTTGTCAAACCGTTAAAGTTTTGTGGCCAAATTTTAAATATTAAAAGGTTCCTACATAAAAAAGGGATCAAAGTTGTCAAACCGTTAAAGTTTTGTGACCAAACTTTAAATATTAAAAGGTTTCTTAAAAATGTAAAAATATCGATTACAATAACCAAAAGTGTCAAAATGGCTAAAAAATGAGGACCAAAGTTGCCAAAGTACAGGGACCAATTCTGCCAAAAAAACAACATAAAGTCCAGGGACTAAAATAGATAAAAATTGTGGAAGTTCACTATTCATAAGAAACAATTCCCATAATATATATATATATATATATATATATATAATGTGTCATTTTCCCATCTTTTATTTTGGCTGCTCTTTTTTTAGCCTCCTTCTTAACAGTACCTCTACATAATGATTCCCAGTTTCCCACCGCTGAAAACCCCATTTGGTAGTTGCTAGGAACAAAGTTTCATGATGGTGGACAATCAAAGTTTGAATCAGATAACGAAAACCTTATACCACCTGATCCAATTAGTATTTACCAAGCAACATTGGAAGACCACATTATCAACATTAATAAACTGCACAAATTCAAAAGGTTTTTCAACTTTACTCACCTTCTTAGCAAGATGCTAATCAATCACAATCCCATATTTTGAATATAGCTGCCAAAGCTCGCTGTAATACAATCCATCGTTCATTCCTTGATTAAGATTAAGATTAAGAATAAGAATAAGAATAAGATGATTAAAATCTTTAACCCAAGAGACGAAACGAACTTCCAAAAGATTCAATTTCTCCATACATCTGAAGAAAGCCAAACAACAACCTATCCATTAATCCATCACCCTTGAAATTGTACCAATCCTAAATTGGAATTGATAGCTTGAACCCTTCCTTTTGAAAATCGGCATACCAAGTTCAACCCAATATCATCCAATTTATGACATATATGATGGATATGGAAAAACCAAGAATTGATTAGCAACATGTTATTTTTCAAACCCCAATTCCCATCTTCTTTGATTCTGTTAATCTCGATACTATACACATCGTCATTCCTCATGTAGCACCTTGTTAATAAGAGATTGTCGCCCTGGAAATCGGCTCCGGCCAATCTCCTCCACCTTTCTTCCATCATTATCGTCATCCGTCTCTTCTTTCTCAGTAGTGTTCCTTTTACCAGCTACAGCAGTCTGATTCTCCCTTCTCTTCGCCGCCCTCTCTCGTCTTTTCTCCCTCCCAACGCTACCACCGCTGCTCCCTTTCCCGGAAGGTTTCTTGAGATTGCTCTCGACCTGCTGCTGCTTATCTTGAACCCTAGGTAACCGACCACCCTTGGATGTCCCCAACAATCTAAAGTCAACCTTGCTCCACCCAACCTTGTCGTCGTAGTCCCACCCAAACCTCTTGCTCAGTTCCTTCAATTCGCCGGCAACACCACTACCCGACGACCCCACCATACCCTCTCCAGTCAGGAGTCTCTCCGCCACCTCCCATTCCATTCTGTCCGCGTATACCTCGTCTTCCAGCACATCCTCTGCTAATTTTCCCCATTTCTCGGAATCTCCGGTTATCAGATTCTTTGACATCCATCTCAGATACTCCGACGACAGCATCCCTAACATCTTCCCTTTGTGTTTCCCGATGTCTATAACTCTGTCCCGAGCCGGAATCGCCCTCATCTCGTTATTCCATGTTGTTTTCTTTATATTATTAAAGCATGAGACCTTCAGGGAGGAGGAGCAACTGAGAAAACTATGAGGAGGAGCGGCGGGGCGTAGAGAGATGTTGAGTTTCATGATTTTATCCATTTGTTAGCGAGAGTACTGTGATTTACTGATTTTTATATGGTAAGGGTTAAAATGCGACTCTTTTGGATCATAAGATCGGAGGATGTATCCTCACCGCACAACCGGTGAGGTGGGGGTTGGACTTTACGGTAGAAATTCACTATGCTCTTTCCTTCCTTAACAATTTTTGTTCATGCTCTATAATCTATATACATAGCAACCCAAATAACTCATTTAGTCACAGTAAAACCGAATATAGCAACCCAAATAACTCATTTAGTCACAGTAAAACCGAATGTTCTATACTCTTTTAATTATATTTTTTAAACTGGTTAACAATTCTCCAATATCCGTAAGAAACCAATCATCTTCATGGATAAATACTTCAAGTTGACCAACTAGAAACAATGTTTGTTTTGATTCCACAACATCTATTATCGGCCACAACATGACACTCTTATCTACTCCCCCAAGACCTGTCAGGGCCGTCTCTACCATTTGCAAAACTAAGCAAGGGCTTAGGGCCCCCAATTCTAAAGGGTCCCCAATTTTCAAACTTATTCCGTTAATTATATATGTATATATAGGTATTTCTTGGGTTACAAAGACAAGTTTGAGCTTGCCCGGGTGGTAAAAGCGTTGGTTTATCAAACTAAAGTTCTCAGGTTCGAATCTGTTTGATAACCCGAAGAACCCGAAGGCTCCCAAATTGGTTGAGTAGTTCCTGAGACGTGTCATTGTTTTATCTAACGCAAAACTTAACCCCAATGATATTTCCCAACTTCACTCCTTTTCCTTGGATATGTTCCATAAATCCAACCCCAACTTAGTCGGGTTCATAAGAAAAGGCAAGCAACTTATTCTAATGTGGACAACCGAGGAAAAAGCCACGTTGGCCAAATTGTAGGTTGATGCATCGGAAGACAAGACGACTTGTAATTCACAAACGTCTCACCAATTTTGGAAAGGAGTTAATTTGCAGTTTTATCAGCAAATGGATCGTGGCAAGCACCGCATGAAAGATCAAGTTAACACCAAGTATGGAGAGGTGAACAAGATAGTGATGAAGTTCAACTTCACCATTTAAACTTTTTTTAGAAAAAATATAATGATTTTTATGACAAATGACAAAATATTAGTTTTATTTCAATGTTCTAATAAATACATTTGAATCCTAACTATTAGACGTATAGAATCTTGATTTAAATATGGTGTATATTTTATTCATATCTTCTATTTTATTTGTAATATTTTGTACCAAATTTTGTTAATATAAATACACTTCAACCCTCTTGTTTTGGGGTATGATTTCCATAATTCACACGGAATCGGCCTAACAAACTTCTTTCTTCTCTCTAGAACTCATCTCTTTTTCCTTCCCCTCTCATTACACTAGTTACAAGTGTCGCCATGGATAATACATATGTTACTCTTTCTATGTCTATCATCATTCAACTGATTACCATCCGTCTCTCTTCATCTAATTATCTTTTGTGGCGAAATCAAATGCTACCCCTTCTTTCCTATCAGAAGCTTAAGGACCATGTTGTCGGCACCACTGAATCGTCGCCTGCCACCATCATTACCGACATAAAATCTGTTTCGAATCCAGACTTTCTGTCGTGGTCCGATGCAGATCAGCGGGATGTTGTTCTTCGTCTCTCCTCACTCTTTGAAGAAGCTTCGGCAGAGGTTCTCAATCTCTCTTCTGCTCGTTCCATCTGGACTGCTCTCGAGTCCGCTTACAGCAACTCCACCATGGAACAGATTCAGTCGCTTCGCGGTCAACTTCATCACACAACTAAAGGCACGTCCTATGTTGCTGAATATGGTCGTCGTTTTAAAGCCATTTGTGACAAATTGGCTGCTATTGGTCAATCAGTGGATAACATGGATAAAAACCACTGGGTCATGTGTGGTCTCAATGCCTCCTTCGAAACCTTCTCAACAACCACTTGTGCCTTCAAACCTTTCTCGGTTTTTCGTGACCTATTAGCTCTCGCCGAAAGCCATGATATTTTTCTACAATCTCTTCATGGCTCGAACACTACTCCTCCTGATGCCTTCATTGCAAATTCTGGTTCTCCTCAAAATTTCTCTGGTCAACGGGGTCGTGGATCGTTCTTCTCATGGAGGCTCCAATAGTGGTTGTGGTCGGGGTCGTCGACCACCCCACTGTGAGCTATGCAGGACAAATGGTCATTTTGCAAATGTTTGTCCTAATTTAGCCACATTTGTTAACCGTGCTCAGTCAAATATGCCACATGTGGATGCTGATCTTGCCCAAGCGTTTACTGCTTAATGTCATATCTCTAATCCGGATTTGTATGTTGACTCTGGAGCAACCGATCACATGACTTCTTTGTCGGATAATGTTTCTAATCCTGCACCTTATGTGGGTTCGGGCACTGTCACCTTCGGTAATGGTAATGTTCTTCCTATATCGTGTACATGCAGCACTCGTGTTTCGTCTAATATTACTTTGTGTGATGTACCGGTTATTCCTAGTCTCACAAAGAATTTACTATCTATCAGTAAGCTCACGACTGATTATCTGGTTGACATTTTATTGTCCCAACCATTTTTTACTATTCAGGATCGCAAAACGAAACAGCCTCTCGCTCAAGGACGATGTGAGAATGGATTGTACGTTCTTCGCAACAAGCTGTATGCATTGGTGACTACCTCGAATCGCGCATCTTATGAATTATGGCACACACGATTGGGGCACGTCTATTTTGAAGTTATTTCTCTTTTGAATAAACTAGGATATTTATCTCTTACATCGGTGTTACCCAACCCGACTTTATGTGAGCCTTGTCAATTGTCGAAAGGCTATAAAGTGTCTTTTTCATAATAATGCAAAACGCTCAACTCATCCTTTGGATTTAGTACATTGTGATTTATGGGGACTTTCCCTGGTTATTTCAGTTGATGGTTATTCATATTATGTTGCCTTTATCGATAATTATTCTCGTTTTACATGGTTATATCCTCTGAAAACCAAGTCGGCATTTTACTCAGTTCTTATGACTTTTATTAGGTTTGTTGAGACACAGTTCTCCCAAAAAATCAAAGTTTTCCAGTCAGATAGTGGGTCAGAATTCGTTAATAGTACCCTTTCGCAAGATTTTTGAGGATGATGGTAGCTTTCACCGTATCTCATGCCCATACACGCCATAAGAGAATGGTCATGTCGAACGTAAACATCGTCATCTCGTTGAGATGCATTTAGCCATGCTTTTTCATGCTCATGCTCCGACGGCTTATTGGGTTGGCGCTTTCAGTTCTGCTGCTTACATTATCAACCGACTACCCTCGAAAATATTGAACAACAAATCTCCCTTCGAACTATTATATTCTCGGGTGCCGTCTTATGAAAATGTCAAGACTTTTGGGTGTCAAGTCTTTCCCTATCTCCGTGATTATTCGACCAATAAACTTGCACCATGAAGTCTACCATGCATCTTTGCTGGGAACAAATCACAATATAAAGGCTACCATTGTCTTGATCTAACCACTTCTAGAATTTACATCACCAGACATGCTCGATTCAATGAGATTTCCTTTCCATTTACAAGTGAAAGTTCCTCTACTTCATTAACCTCATTACATTTGTCCACCTTTATGGATGAAAGTATTCCTACACCAAATCAAGCACCCCCACATATGCAATCAGAGTCCACTAACACAGCTACCCCCACCTTGTGACTTATGCATTTCTACTCCAAGTGACTATAATTCCCAAGATGACTCCTCCTGTCATGCGTCATACCCTCCACCATCACCTAACTCTGCCGCCCAATCGTCATTTGTCTCTGTTACACCATCATCTCCCTCACCTGTTGATAAACATAATATTATACCTACTAGTTTTACCAACTATTTAACTAACTATTACAACTAAGGTAGTGGACCTACTCACAAATAATATAGTACAAACAGTCGGGTATCGAACTTAGGAAACAGATTTAATTTACTAACCTGACTACTAACATATTTATCTAAAAACAAGCAATAGTTAAAAAGGGTTTTATCTGATTTTTAAAATTCAAAAAAACTTAAGCACTTAACTAACGGTTTTAAATTTTAATCAATATACTAAAAACACTTTCGTTTAGTTCGAATCCGACTCTTCTCTATGGTTAGTTACTAATTATGGATTATTAAAGTTGGTTACGAATTATTATGTAATTAGCAATTCAAGTCTATATTTACTAATATTTTCACCAATTCATGTACTACCTTGTATGGTCATACACAAGCAAGCACAAAATTAGTTATTAATTATAGATGGGCTATGTAAGATTTATCTAAGCAAACACAATTATGGTCACAATTATGTTCTCCAGCACAACTAAATTTGTTATTTTTATTACTTATTTAATCTAGGTGTGGTCACTCCTAGCTCTAGCAATTTAATGGTCACTAAATCACTAGGTAAACAAGTTCATGTAATTTAATGGTCACTAAGCTACACTTAACTTGAATTAAAGCAACAAAGTCACAAACTTTAACATGCTAGGTAAGGATAATCAAACACAAACACAAAACCAACTTATAAAATCCATAAATTAATAAACTAATCCATAGATTTAAGGTTTCATCTAGTTAAACGAAAGCAAGCAAGTTTAGATACTCATGACTGAAAACAAAAACACAAGTTCAAAAGAAATCGACATGTCTAAAGTAAATCAAACTGATGTGATTATTTGTTCTTCAATTTCTTAATCTTCAAGCAATTTCTCCTTCAAATGTATGTTTTGTGCAATTTTTTGACCTCTAAAAACGAATATCTCAGACTATCTCTCCTCCCAAAAGCTCTTTCAATCGATAATGCAAAGGAGTTTATATATTTTTGCAAAAGTCGTGGTTCACGATGTGAAATAGGGGTCTTACGTCGTGATCTTGATGGATATCCTTATCGTGCAAGGATTCTGCCTTCCGCATGCTAATCTTCTAGAATTTCCACCTCACGTCGTGGTCTTTAGATGTCACGTCGTGAGTTG